ACGGAGTTCTTCTTTCTTTAGATTATGCACAGACTGTAGAATTAGATTTTTCTTGTTAAAATTTTAAATATTACAGAAATATAGAAGGCAAAAAATGAAAGGTTTCTTCCCGCGTTTCCTTCTCCAAAACTATCTCAGAGATAACCTCTGTTAACAGTGACAAGTGTCACTTTTTAAAACCTTTTCCCCATGGATTTGCATACATAAGCTTACATAGACATATACAGGATTTCATTCACGTAAATGAGATCATATTATACACACTGCATTGCAAGTTACATTTTCCCCCTGTTTTCATGATCTTTTACAAAAGTGCATTTGAACCTATTGTGATTTTTTAAAATTCTGCAAACTATTTCATAGTATAAATTAAATTCTTCTCCTATTGAAGGAAAAATTAAAATTAAATTAATTCCACTTCATTTTCTTTTCTCCCTCCCTCCCTCTCTGCCTTCTTTCCTTCTTTTCTTTTTTGCCATTCAAAAATAATGTTAACTCTACACTTAGAAATGGTTAATATGGTAAATTTTGTTTTTCTTTACCACATTTTTTTAAATAACCCTGCAAAAATGCCTTTAAAAATATTACAGAGAAAACCTCAACATATCTAAGCATGTATGCAAATATTTCTGTAGATCAAACATCTAAAATCGAAATGCTGGCCCAAAAAGAATGTCCATTTAAAATGGAAAGACCACCCACTTTCTTCCAAAGAGCCTTAATCCACATCCCCACACACAAGGTAAGAATGCCTGTTTTCCCATATGCTCACCAATACTGGATATTATCAACTTCTAAATTAAAACAGAGATCAGCACAATAATTTCTGTGCACATGATTGTGCACTCTGTGTCTTGATTCATTTGTGTTGCTATTAAAAAAAAACCAAAACCTGAGGCTGGGTAAGTCACAAAGAGAAGGTTTATTTGGCTCACAGTTCTTCAGGTTGTACAAAAAGCATGGCACCAGCATCTGCTTCTGGTGAGGCCTCAGGCTGCTTCCACTGATGGCAAAAGTTGAAGGGGAACTGACATGTGCAGAGATCACAAGGCAATAGATAAAAAGCAAGAGACAGAGGGCAGGTGTCAGGCTCTTTTTAACAACCAATTCTCAAGGGAACGAATAAAGCCAAAACTCACTCATTACGTCAAGGATGGCACCCATTAGACCCCACCTCCAACACTGGGGATCAAGTTTTGACATGAAATGTGGGGGGACAAATATCCAAACCATAGCATGTTGTCTCCTAATGCCTGGGAAATGCAAAAAAAGACAAAGACAAAACAATAAACAGAAAACAGACGCTGCAGACCTATCAATTAGAAGAATCTCCTCTTCCTTTTTCTTTTTCGTTTTTTTTTTTTGCATAGTATGCCACAGTGCATACTATATTTTTTTAATCCAGTCTGCTATTCATGGGCATTTAGGTTGACTCCATGTCTTTGCTATTGTTAATAGTGTTGCAATCAACTATGTGTTCTTGTGTCTTTATGATAGAAGATTACATTTCTTTGGGTATATACCCAGAAGTGGGATTGCTGCATCGAATGGTAGTCCTGTTTTTAGATATTTGAGGAATTGCCACACTGTTTTCCGCAATGGCTGAACTAATTTACACTCCCACCAACAGTGCATTATAAGCATTCCTTTTTCTCTACAACTTAACCAACACCTGTTACTTTTTGAGTTTTTAATAATAGCTATTCTGATTGGTGTGAGATGGTATCTCACTGTGTGTTTTTTTCTTTTTTTTTTTTTTAAAGGAAAAAAGAGAAAGAGGAAGGGGGAGAGAGAACAGGAATGTTGCTCTGTTGCCCAGGCCGGAATGCAATCCAAAAATAGATATTAAAAACCTCTTTTATGCCAATAATTGTACTTATCAGTGGATACAGGGAGGAGTAAGGGAAGAAAATAACAAACGAACAGCCAACCAATATTTCATTTAAGTCTGTGAAATGCTATGCAAATGCTGAAGAGTGATTTACTTCCAATTATGTGGTCACTTTCAAAATAGGTGTAATGTGATACTGAGAAAAATGTATGTTCTGTGGACCTGGGGTGAAGAATTCTACAGATATTCACTGAATTTACTTGTGGTAGGTCTGAGATCAAATCATAAATGTCCCTGTTAATTTTCTATCTCACTGATCTGTCGAATATTAACAATGTTGTGTCAAAGTCTCCCGCTATTATTGTGTGGGAGTCCAAGTCTCTTTATAAGTCATTAAGAACTTGTCTTACATATCTGGGTGTTCCTATATTGGGTGCATATATATTTATGATCATCGACTCCTGTTGTTGCATTGATCCTTTTACCATTATGTAATGTCCTTCTTTGTTTGTTTTAGTCTTTGTTACTATTAAAGTCTATTTTGTCAGAGATGAAAGTTACAGCTCCTGTTTTGTTTTGTTGCTCTCCATTTGATTGGTAAGTCTTCCACCAAAGCTTTGTTTTGAGTCTTTGTGTGTCCTTGCTTATGAGATGGATCTGAATACAGTGTACCAATGGGTTTTGACTTTTTATTCCATTTTCCTTTCTGTGTCTTTGATTGGGGCATTTAATCCATTTAAATTTAGGTTTAATATTGATATTTGTGAGTTTAATATTGTTGTTTAATGTTAGCTGGCTACTTAGCCCATTAGTTGATTCTTCATTATGGAGATACTCTTTATCTTTTGGTAAGTTTTTGGGATGACCGATACTGGTTGTTCTGTTCTGTGTATAGCGCTTCTTTCAGAAGCTCTTGTAAAGCAGGCCTGGTGGTGGTGAAATCTCTGAGTGCTTGCTTGTTAGTGAAAATTTTTATTTTTCCTTCATTTATAAAGCTCAGTTTGGCTGGATATGAGATTCTGGGTTGAAAATTATTTTCTTTGAGGATATTGAATATTGACCCCCACTCTCTTCTAGTTTGTAGGGTTTCTGCTGAGAGATCTGCTGTGAATCTGATAGGCTTCCCTTTATAGGTAACCTGACCCTTCTCTCTAGCTTCCCTTAGAATTTTTCTCCTTAATTTCAACCCTAGTGAATCTAACGATTATGTGTTTTGGAGTTGCTCTACTTGAGGAATCTTTGTGGTGTTCTCTATATTGCCTGGAGTTGAATATTGTCCTGCCTTACTAGGTTAGGAAAGTTTTCCTGAATAGTATCCTGAAGAATATTTTCCAGCTTGGATTCATTCTCTTCATAACATTCAGGTACACCTATCAAACGTAAATTTGGTTTTTTCACAACATAGTCCCATATTTCTTGGAGACTTAGCTCATTCCTTTTTACTCTTTCTTCTCCAATCTTGTCTGCTCGTTTCATTTCATTAAGTTGGTCTTTAACCTCTGATATCCTTTCTTCTGCTTGACCAATTCGACTGTTAAAACCTGAGCATACTTCAAGGAGTTCTCGCATTGTATTCTTCAGTTCCATTAATTCATTTATATTCCTCTCTAAATTGTCTATTCTCGTTAGGATTTCGTCAAACCTTTTTTCAAAGTTCTTAGTTTCTTTGCATTGGGCTAGAACATGTTATTTTAACTCACAGAAGCTTCTTATCATTCACCTTCTGAAGCCTACTTCCATTAATGGAATGCACTCATTCTCCATCAGTCCTCGTTCCATTGGTGATGAGGAACTGTGGTCCCCTGTAGAGGGAGAGGCATTCTGATTTTGGGTATTCTCAGTCTTTTTAGGCTGAGAGGTTTCTTCCCATCATTATAAATTTTTCCACCTGTCGTCTTTGTAATTACCGACTTTCTAATTAGGTCTCTGAGCGGACGTCCAACTTGTTGATTCCCAGCACCAGAATCTGAGCAACCCACTGCGCTGGCTAAAACAGCGGCATTAAGATTGGTGGTGCTTTTCTGCCTGGGAATCTCCAGTCTGGCTTCCTTCTTGAGTCTGTCCTTCAATCAGCTGAATAGGCGACTCTGCCTTCCTGGAGCTCCAAATGTCGACCAAAAGGGGACCCAGTCCCATTTACTCTGCACCAAGAACCACCGAGCTGAGGTGCCGGCAAAACCGCTGCGCTGGCCACAAGAGTCACGCCGGCAACCCGTGGGGCTCCTCCGCTGGGAATCTCCTGGTACACGAGCAACAAAAATTCATCTGAAAGTGTGGCATCCTCTCGTTCTCTGTGCTTTAACTGGGAGCTACAATCTTGAGCTGCTAGTAATCAGCCATCTTGGAACTCTCTCCTCTTTCTTATTTGTACATACCATTACATATGTAGTAAAGATCATTTGCCTATTGTGTAATCATATAGCAGAAACTCCAGGATAATTTACTGAAAACTTTTAAATTACCAAAAGAGTATACCAACTTGGTCATGCACAAGATAAATGTATAGACTTCAGTGGTTCACTTATATGCCATCCATGATCAGGTCAGGGGAAATGCTCTTGTTTAAATTGTTACTAAAATTTAGAAATAACCATAACTCAAAAAAGGGTTTTAATAAAATAGTATAGAAAGGGCTTGAATAAATGGAGAATCTTCTCATTTTCCTTAATGAGATGACTAAACATTGTAAATACATCAATTTATCCAAGAAATTTGTATGCTAATGTCATGCTAATCCTTCCCACTCCAAAGTCTCAAAGTTAAAAAAATTACTTTGGGTATTAAACAGTTATTCTATTCTAACATTCACCTAGAAGAATAAAGATGGAAAATTAGAAATGAACAGTAGGGAAAAATAGATTTACAAATAATATCCAGAAATTGGCTATAAATACATAAATAAAATTATGTTTTCCCCCGAATGTCAATAATAATCAAATTCCATGTGGATTAGTTAAATCATTATATAAATAAAAGTTTAGAATAAAATAATAGCTATTTTATTTAACTAGTTCATCAATGGAAAAGTACTTCTAAGAATGGAAGTGGTGTCAGAAATCACAAAGGGAAAATCTAGATTTGATTATAGAGGAAAACAAAACCCTGTTTATTAATGAAACATCATAACAAAATTTAAAAGGCAATAAAAGAATGAGAGAAAATTGCTCACTCCTATTCATAGAGTTTATTGGGCCTTCCGAAGAACTGAGATGTGAAAAGCCAACTGCTTTCCTATATTTGATTATGGAAATCCCCAGGGAACTAGAGTCCCATCTCGTTTGTACTTTAGTTTCTAGTTCATAACATAGGAAATGCATAGAAACACAGTGAGATACCACTTCATACCCACTAAGATGGCCATGACTTAACATTGCTGGTGGGAATGTAGAATGGTTCAACCACTGTGGAAAACAGTTTTTCTGTTCCTCAAAAAAGGTAAACATAGAATTACCATACGACCCAGCAGTTCCACTCCTAGATATATACCCAAAAGGATGCAAAATAGATATTCAAACAAATAACAGGTACACAAACATCTCCACTATTCACCATAGCTAAAAGGCAGAAACGACCCAATGTCCATCAATGAATGAGTGGATAAATTGTGCTATAAACACATAATACAATATTATGTAGCCATAAAAATGAAGTTTTGATACATGCTACTATGTAAATGGATCTCAAAAACTTATACTAAATGAAAACAGCCAGACACAAAAGGTTTCATACAATTCAACTTATATGAAATATCAAGAATACATAACTCCGTAGAGACAGAAAGCTGATTGGTGGTTGCTGGGGGCTGGAGGGAGGGGGGAATGGAGGGTATCTGCTTAATGGGATGGGGTTTCCTTTTACAGCAGAACATTTTTTCTGGAACTTTAAACAAAGGCGGTGGTTATACAACATCGTTGACAATACCAAGTGGCAGTGAACTTCTTACTTTAAAATAGTTAATTTTATGTGATGTGAATTTCACCTCAATAAAAAAAATTTTTTTAAAAATAAAGCCAGTAATATCCAACCACTAAAAAAATAAGTTTCACAGCTTGTATATAATCAAGTTACTTATTACTGCAGTATATATAATGGTTATACAACATTGTTAACAATACCAAGTGACACTGAACTTCTCACTTTAAAACAGGTAATTTTATGTTATGTGAATTTCACCTCAATAAAAAAATTTTTTTTAAAAATAAAGCCAGTAATATCCAACCACTAAAAAAATAAGTTTCACAGCTTGTATATAATCAACTTACTTATTACTGCAGTATATATAATGGTTATACAACATTGTTAACAATACCAAGTGACACTGAACTTCTCACTTTAAAACAGGTAATTTTATGTTATGTGAATTTCACCTCAATACAAAAATTCTTTAAAACAAAAAAATAAAGCCAGTAATATCCAACCACTAAAAAAATAAGTTTCACAGCTTGTATATAATCAACTTACTCATTATTGCACCCAGATATGTAAGATAGAGTTCCAACCCTTGGTGAACCTCAGGTCTTGTTGGAGGACTATCTAAGGATACAGAGATTAATAAAATAAAAGAACTACCACAAAGGAGGTGCCCTTCAAGTGCAGAGAGTTCACATATGTACATCTGCTTGTGGAGAAAGAAAACATTTCTGAAATAAGACATTTGAAATGAGCTTTAAGGGTTGACTGGAATTTTTACTGTTAGAGGTAGAGAAACAATATCATAAAAGGTGTGATTCCCTACTAGAGGATTATCTGATAAGTTGAAAGACATTTCTTTTTCTAGTAGGGAAAGTCCAACCCAGTTGTTGTCAAAGCTTATAAATTGGGCACAGAATTGAAGACCAAGTGTCGACAGAGAATGGCTCTGTCCCCTTTGCATCCCCAGTGCCAAATGCAGTCCCCAAGTACATGTTTGACAATTGGTAAACATCAAAAATAAAATAAACATAAAATATAAATGTGCATATTAAAAACTTTTCAAAAAGCTAAGCACCAGAAAAATCTATAAAATAGCAATATCTAGCAGCATTTATTACCACGGAAGCAGCGTGTTAAGGTCACGTATTTGAGGTCTCAGGAAAGCACAGGGTAGCCAGGGTGAACTGCATGTGGAATTCTAGGAAACTCTGCATGCCATCCTATGGGATTTGGACCACAATTTTAATGCAACAGGGAATCAGTATGGTCGATTTTCCCAAGATGCTGAATAAGTGTAGCATAAATGAGTGGTCAGTATAGAAGAGTGGAGTGTGGAGCAAATCCTGAGGGCCGGCCGACAGGTAAGGAATCTGCCCTCACCTTTGCACTTGGCTTTCTAGGCCCCCATCCTCTTGGAGCTGTAGCGGAGGGGGGGATCTGGGGACACAGCAAGAGGGAAATGGCTGAGGACACTGTAAATGCACGCTTTATGGAGATGAGAACCTGCCGCAGAACAGAAGGTTATTGGCTCTGTTGTGCCTGATGAAGAAAAGGAAAGGGTGGTCAGCACAGAATCTCAGGCCAGATTCCTTGCCGCACTCTGCCTCCACCAACATGTCCGAGGCTGCTACCGCCTCCGTGCCTTCTTCATTCACCTCCACAAAAGTCTTGTGCACGAACTTGGACAGACACAGGTCTCTCTCGGCCGACATTGCCGACAAGTCAGCCTTGCCCCGTTGGAAAGCATCAACCATTCCCAAACGTGGAAGCACAGATGCCATGTCATAATCCTCCTGCAGTTTAAATTTTGGAAGGTGAACTTCAACCTCAGTGCTCTTCATACAGTCTGGCTTGGTCCAGGCTGTGAGTTTCTCAAAAGTAAGATTTTTTTCCACCTGAAAGACCAGAATGAGACTTTTAAGATTTCGACTTCAGGCACTCACAGTCCCCTTCCTCCTTTTGCTTGGGTATTGTTTATTGGCATAGGACCAGCGGCCCCTTGATCTGCCAGAAGATTGTGAGCGCTGTTACTTGTCCTGTGTCTCATGCGCCATCCCATGTACCTCTTCCTCAACAAGGGGGAGAGACACCAAGCAGCCGGAGGCAGGAAGGCTGTGGTTGTCCTTTCCTTACCCAACAGCTCCCAAGACTAATTGTATTGTGACAAGTGTCAATGCCCAGGCGACTATGTTTTTTTTTCCAATCCATGCTTATTTTTAAAAACAACAAACCATTGCTAGTAAAGGAAAGGATTGGAAATGAAAGGGCTCTCAGTGTGAGCCACCCCAGTAGGGGAATCTGCCCCAGGTGAGATTCTGCATAGTTTCTGGAGCAGAGGTTAAGGTCAGGGAGGCGGGCAGAGGGAGAGCCAATGGCTGCCTCACACACAGGCCTCTTAAGTCATGGGGTTCCACTGCCTGCCATTGCCATGGTTGACTCTGTCACCCCAGGGATCCATGCTGAAGGGAAGCCAGGTGCCTGTACGTCTCTGCCCCCGCCCCCTCCACCCCCCAAACGCTAGACTTTACACCTCCCTGGATGCCACGATCCCCCTGCTCCCAGCCTTGTTAGGTGAAAGACTTCTTCATTCTCTATTTCAGATTCTAGCCTTTAAAAGCATGATGCTAAGAATAATAATTATAATAAAGGATCACATTTGCATAGAGTTTACTATTTGCCAGGCAATGCGGTAAGCTTGCTACCTGAATTACCCACATTTTATCCTCATCATAAGCCTACCAGGCAGTAACCCCAAGCAGTGCTTTTACAGAATTAAAAGTATGGTGTCAGCTGGGCGTGGTGGCTCACGCCTGTAATCCCAGCACTTTGGGAGGCTGAGGCGGGTGGATCACGAGGTCAAGAGATCGAGACCATCCTGGTCAACATGGTGAAACCCCGTCGCTACTAAAAATACAAAAATTAGCTGGGCATGGTGGCACGTGCCTGTAATCCCAGCTACTCAGGAGGCTGAGACAGTGGAATTGCCTGAACCCAGGAGGCGGAGGTTGCGGTAAGCCGAGTTCGCGCCATTGCACTCCAACCTGGGTAACAAGAGCGAAACTCCATCTCAAAAAAAAAAAAGTATGGTGTCCTTCATCAAACTAGCAGGATTTTTATAAGCTTCCCCTACCTGGTTTATTTTAAAAGGCATTTTAACCGCCCCCGGACCCCTTCTAGCGATGAAAAAATAAAGTACTGGGATGTGTAATTTGGCAGATCACGAGGACAATACTGGGGAAAGTCAGCCTTGAACAAAAATTTGATCCCAAAGCCAAGTGCAGCCACAGTGCGCTCCGCAGGCTGCCTCCGCCGCATCGCCAACCCGGAAGGTAAAAACAAGAGGTGGAAGTGGTGCTGGAGTTTTGCCAGCAAAGGTGTCCCTCCTGCAGCCCGGGTTCCTCCTGCAGCCGTGATCTCACCGTGCTGAGCTCCACGCCGTCGTCAGGCAGCAAGACGAGCAGGCTCAGCTCCTCCCCAGCATAGGGCAGCTCCAGCAGCTGCGCGCCCACCTCGCCCACGTGGGCGAGCATAAAGAAGGCCTCCTGATACATCATCTGCACTGGCCTTTGCTCCTCCTGCAGGAAGGATTATTGAAAGAAGCAATTAACCGTTTCAAAAGAGCTGCAGTTGCCTCAGGGAGGCATCACAGTTTTCAGCACCTGTGATGGAAACCGCCATATTCATTCCCCAGTTAACACACACAAAAAAACAAAGTCAACCATTTCCTTCTTATCATCATTTCAAGCAGACACAGTACTACCCTGGGAAAGGTTTTGCTTTGTAAAATAAAATGTGATACTCTGCATTTTCCAGAGGAGAAAGTCAGATTTTGCTCGTTTAAATTATGTTCAGCAAATAGATATAAGAAAACAATATAATCAAATGAAATTAAATACATCTATTTCTATTTAATTAGAAAAAAGTATATTGTTTCTCATATTTATCCAACCCAACATATAAGAAAAAAATGTCATAAAGTGGAGTGAAACTTAAAGTTTCAAAACAGTATGACAGGGAGTGTAAATGAATACACTCTTTCCGAAAGAGTGACAACCTACATATATGGTAATGCATTTTAACCAAATCTTTTCAATTCTGATACTCTAAGGAAATATTTTTTTTAAATACCAAGAAGATATAGGCACACAGAAGTTCAGCAAAGTATTACAGTTATTAAATTTACTTTAAAAATTGATACAGATCATCTATTATAAAAATTAAAATAGTTCTAAAACCAAGGTTAGAATTCTCCTCCTCCCACCCTTTGCAACTACACAACTAATTTTTTTTAAGTTATTTAAAGTACAACTTACAAAAAATGCAAGAGGGCTACCCACTTTCATTTTCTAATTGCATTACAATGGTATATTTTTAGGAGCTGGAGGATTTGACAAATTATTCTAACCCCTGCCTTAATTTTTACTTCGATGTCACAACTAAGGGCTTTGTCACCGAGTTCTAATATTGGAAAGCTGTAAATACTGAATTAATAATAATTAACAATTCAAATAAAACTTACTTTAATTTTAAAAATAACTAATCAATGTCTTTTCACATTCTCTCCCTCCATCCTGCCCTAATCTCCTCACTCCCCATATATCACACTACTTTAACATTAACACCTTTTTTTTTTGTTTTTTCTTTCTAACTAAGGAAATTGGGCTTAAAGGAAGATCTTTAGTTTCCAAAACTAGGTGGCAGCAATGGTTTATGAGGATTTATCAAAGGTCATAAAAGCAGTGATAAACACTACATGTATGTTAAATCTATCTATCTATATGCAGCAAATCTTTTACTCCTTCCATTTTTTCTACTGAGTTAAGAATTCATTCAGAAATATTTTAAGTTTCAAATTCTCTTTGGCTTATGCTTATGTTACTTACACTTTTACAAAGTTAAATCTTTCCCTTCAACTTCAACAAACTAGCAAGATTTTGAAAAGCCTCCCCCTACCTGGTTTATTTTAAAAGGCATTTCCCTCGTGTATGTTTCGTCAAACCATTCATTCCACTTTCCTTTGAAGTAGATAGCGTTGACAAGAACCAGCCTGGTCTCTGCATCAATTGAGCTAACCGGCAACAACTCTTCAATTTTACCTTTCAAGGAAAGCAGAGACCTGTGTTCAGTTGCTTTTTTTTTTTTTTTTTTTTGGAGGAAGGCAGGAAGGGAGAAAGGAAGGGATGAAGGAAGGAAGGAAGGAAGGAGGGGAAGAAGCGCGGAGGGAGGGAGGGAGGGAAGGGAAGGAAGGAAATCAAGCAATGAGAGAGACATTGCCGACCTGGATCTAGAGGTTTACAAGTTGATTTCTTTTTTTGAGAGAAGGAAAGAAAAAAAAAAATAATAAAAAAATAAGTAGAGAAAGAAAGAGGAAGAGAAAGAGGGAGAGTAAACGGAAATATTGCTTTATTCTGAAAAAACTTGGGTATTAATAATGGCCAATCAATGTTTCATTTAAACTTATGAGTAGGTGTGATGTGATATTGATAAGAATGTATATTTTATTTATTTAAAGTGGGGAGCTCTATAAATATTTATTAAGTTTACTTGTTCCGGATCTGAGTTCGAGTCCTTGATATCCTTATTAATTTTCTGTCTCATTAAATCTAAGTCTCTATGTATCTGGGTGTTAGGATCGTTAGCTCTTGTTGCTGCATTGATACTTTTACCACTGTATCTTTGTTGCTTTAAAATCTATTTTATCCGATACGAGATTTGCAACTCTTGCTTTTTAATTTATTATTTATTTTTGCTCTCCATTTGGTTGGTAAATCTTTCTCTATCCCTTTGTTTTGAGTCTTTGTGTATCCTTGCATGTGAAACAGGTCTGGATGTAACATGCCATTGGGTTTTGGCTGTGTCTTTTGATTGGGGGATTTAGTCGATTTAAATTTAGGGTTACTGCCATTTGATGTTAACTGGCTGTTTGATCCATTCGTTGGTGTAAATTCTTCTTTATGTTGGTATTCTTTACTTTTTGGTATATTTTTAGAAAGGCTAATACTGGTTGTTTCTTTCTGTGTGTAATGCTTCTTTCAGAAGCTCTTGTAAAGCAGGCCTGGTGGTAATAAAATCTCTGAGTTCTTGCTTGTTCATAAAAGATTTTATTTTTCCTTCAGTTGTGAAGTTTAGTTTGGCTGGATATGAAATTCTGGGCTGAAAGTTGCTTTTTATAAGAACCTGATGTATTCAGTGATCCTGAATTATTAGTTGAGAACCAAACTTCTGTTTTCAAATTTGCTGAGTTTAGGTTGTTACGTAGAGACATTACAACAGCACCTATGAGTGGTATTCATGATTACTGACACCTTGAGAGCACCCACCAAGTTGAGGATAGTGAAAGACTTGTAAGTCACTCAAGAAAAACAGGTTGGCAGAAAGTAGAAAGATTACACCAGGTTGAAGAACAAGACCAGCAAGGAATGTGAAAGGGGGCAGGGGTGTTTGTCTCACTTCGTTAAAAGGAATGTTTGATCCAACCCTTCATGGTCACACCTGATTCTAACATTCTATGACTACACGTGGACATGTCAGAAGCAGCCAGAATGGATGGCTCAAAGGGGGAAGAGCTGGCACTGGGCACATGGGGAGGTTTCTGGAAGCTTTTGAAGAGATATTACTGCTGAATCTGCTAAACAAAGCACCAGGCATCCCTGGAAAAGAGAATGTAAACAAGCAAATATCACCCCTTCTTTCCATGAAGACCAAATGGTACTTTTTCAATGAACTGAGAGCATTCCTGCTGATTCACAGCCTCAAAAGGGCATCTGTGGTAAATATTCCAAGCAGGAATGGGGGAAACAATTGCTGAGACTTTACGTGAAGAACATCTCCCATTCTTTACCATCTCATTTATTCACAGGAATGGAAATGTTCCTAGTGATACTAAGCATTAGTGCAGAGGAGTCTGAATGGTTCATCAGACCGTCATTGGTCTTGGAGGCCAAGACTGGAACATGTCCCTCTCTGAAATGAAGAAGAAGGTTCAACCCCAAATGGAGGGTATTATCAGTCTGTGGAACTCATCAGCCCTGAGATAGGGTCTGCAGTTAACCAATCAAATGTAGGCTTATCAAGTCAACTTAAATGAGCTTAAGTGGAAGACATGAAAAGTTAGAAGTGGCCTTAGCGGGTAGCAGTGATAGTGATGGATGCCCCACAGAACCTAGGAAGACGCAGCCCAAGTGACAACTCAGGCAAGATGTGTCCATCAGTCTCCTTACAGCGACAACGGAGTCACCTGACGTGAATGTTACAGGCTAGGGAGAGTATATTTTAATGTAGGTTATTAAACTGGAAACCTGGCCTGAGTTTCTTTTGACATTTGGTTTTTTTGTTTGTTTTTTGTTTTCCAGACAGGCTGGAGTGCAGTGGCGTGGTCTCAGCTCACTACAACCTCTGCCTCCCAGGTTCAGGCGATTCCCGTGTCTCAGTCTCCCGAGTAGCTGGGATTACAGGCATGGGCCACCATACCCGGCTAGTTTTTGTATTTTTTGTAGAGATGGGGTTTTACCATGTTGGCCAGGCTGTTCTCAAACTCCTGATCTCAAGTGATATGCTCACCTTGGCCTCCTAAAGTGCTAGGATGACAGGTGAGAGCCACCATGCCCGGCCCTCTTTTGACATTCTAACAGCTACTCTGGTCCTGGGAGAATACACAAAATAAATCTCTGTTGCTGAAAACCTGAGTGTCTGATCAGAACCTTTGTGAGTCCACTAAGGTTCAGTATGCCAGGAGGCCTTGCCAGTCAACATGGCTCTGACCATCTGAAACACCCATGAAATTAGAGGGGCTGGAGTAGAGAGGTGGAGGTGGGTGAGCAGAGAGAGAATGAGGGAGAGGAGGAGGAGGGAGGATAAAGGAGGGTAGAAGGAGGACTAGGAGAGCAGCAGGAGGAGGAGGGGTTGGGAGGAGTGTGGAATAACTTGTCATTCTGACCTTCAGTCTTTTCTGAGACCCAAGTGTTGATGTGTTTCCTGGACTCTTCTGCAGCTTTGATAAAAGAAAGCTGCTTCAGCTCAGCATGGTAGAATTGAAGACAGCATTCCTTAAACGTCTTCGGAGAGAAAGAGTTCAGTGAGGCTGCATTGCTAAATACAAATGTCAGCAAACTTTCAAAAATTCTAAATGTTTTATCTTTTTTAAATAAAAAGAATATGCATAACTCTTTAAAAGTGATCATATTAACATATGTTATAATATCAGAATTTGTAAACAGGTATGTATTGAACCCTGAGTAACCAGAAATGAACTTGAGAATAGTCAAGTTTTTAATAAAACAAGGTATAATTATAGAATTGTAGTCTTTACAAAAAAAAAAAAGAAGTTCAGGCTGGGCACGGTGGCTCACATCTGTAATCCCAACAGGCAGGAGGATCACTTGAGACCAGGAGTTCGAGACCAGCCTGGGCAACATAGTAAGACCCCATCTTGGAAAAAAATTACTAAAATTTTTAAAAAATTGATTAACATAAGTTTCTCAGTTTCTCTAGAGTCTTTCTCTCAGACTCTTTATCACCAGATATGTTGAATACAACTTTTATTGTTCTATTGATTCAACTTACTGAGAGGAATTTACAAGTTTTCTCTCCAAAGAGCCCGTTGGCCGTTCTCAGCAGGTACTCTGTGCCAGCCTTGTTCACTTCAGTGAGAAGCAACTGGAAACCCTGATGAATGTCCTCCTCTGTGTTTAAAGAAAGTGCCTGTTGTGAAAAACAATTTTAAAAATTAACAATTTAGCCCTTTGGTGGATGGGGAGAGGAAAGCGGGGATAGAAAACAGGAAGTGAAAGATGCAGCTCTCCTGTCTGAATGGACCTCGCTCCCTTAAAGATGAGTAACAGAAAAAAAAAGACATTGGAGAGAAAGGTTCAGAAAAGAGGTTGTGATAAAATCTTGTATCCAAAGAAAAACATAAATGCACCCTAAGTGGTGGGATAGTTATCTCTAAAATTTATAGTAAAAAAAAAAAAAGATGCAGTTAAAAAGTTAAAAGCAGAAAAAATGCAAAGAAAAATAGAAATACAGTCATCAGAATCCTCAAAAGGAAATAAGGATATTAAATGAACAATGTGATTAATAAGACACTATAGAGAGTATACATGTGTGTATTACTTAAATAATTCAAAAAACATAACACATATTGGGCCATAAGAAAAGTCTCAAAGTCTCAATACATTCTGAAACACGGAAATTGTATAGGTTACATTCTCTAACCTCAATATAGTAACAAGAAATCAATATTATAAATAAAATACCAATAACATGAAAATGGCCCTACAAAATGTTACTAAAAACACTTTTCTAACTAAATAACTCTTCAAAGAAACCATTAAAATCCTCTTCTGGGACAGGCATGGTGGCTTATGCCTGTAATCCCAGCACTTTGGAAGGCCAAGGCAGGAGGATTGCTTGAATCCAGGAGTTTGAAACTAGTCTGTGCAACACTGCAAGATCCCATCTCCAATTAGCGGGGCACGATGGTGTGTGCCTGCGGTCCCAGCTACTTGGAAGGCTGAGGTGGGAGGACTGCTGGAGCCCAGGGCTTTGAGGCAGCAGTGAGCTCTGATCAAGCTGCTGCACTCCAGTCTTGAGCCAGACCATGTCTCAAAAAATAAAAAGGCCTCTTCTAAACAAATACTTAAAATATTCTTCTAGGCCAGGCACGGCAGCTCACATCTGTAATCCCAGCACTTTCCGAGGCTGAAGTGGGCAGATCACTTGAGGTCAGGAGTTCAAGATCATCCTAGCCAACATGGTAAAACCCTATCTCTACTAAAAATACGAAAATTAGCCTGGTGTGGTGATGTGTGCCTGTAATCCCAGCTACCCGGGAGGCTGAGGCAGGAAAATCACTTGAACCTGGGAGGTGGAGGTTGCAGTAAGCTGAGATCACAGTACTGCACTCCAGCCTGGGCGACAGAGCAAGACTCCTCAAAAAACAAAGAAACAAAAAATATTTTTCTAAATAAGTATATGACACATGATTTAGAAAATAATCAAAATATGGGTGATATATATTAGACCAAAGAGTCTGGCCAAAGATAAATTTAAACATAGCATTGTTTTTAATATTACTAAGAAAATAATGAAATGCTAAAACTTTAAATCATTATGTTAGAAAAGATACAGAAAAACTCCTAAGGAATTTTGGGACCAACACAAAATGGTCAATGAATCCAAGGGCTGGTTTTAAAAGAAAACACACATACTCACAGACAAAACAGACAACCTCACAGCACATGTGAGAAAAATGAGAAAAAGTACCCAAAGGAAGGTTATATATAAAAAAGAGGTTACAGCAATGTATACAAAGGGAATGTTAAAACAATAAAAACCGTGTCTAATTCTTTTCAGTGAAGTATTGATTATGTTACCAAATGCCAGTCAGAAATATGAATATTAGCCAAGCAATGGTGGCATGCACCTGTAATCCCAGCTCCTCAGGAGGCTGAGGCAAGAGAATCACTTGAACTCAGGAGGCGGAGGTTGCAGTGAGCTGAGATAGCGCCACTGCACTCCAGCTGGAATGGCAGAGAGAGACTCTGTCTCATAAAAAAAAAAAAGGAATCTATTATCACTGACAATGAATAAACCGAGAGAGAGAGAGAGAGAGAGAGAGAGAGAGAGAGAGAGAGAGAAGTACTTCTAAAAAGGCTTAGATGATCTTTTGAGGGATTTTTTCTAATATTCAAACAATTTCTATTTCCCGTGTAATGCACACTCTTCTAGAACAGAGAAAAAAGAGGAAGCTACTCAATTTATTCTAGACAGCTCATAGACTGCTGATAAGAAACCCTGTCAAAAATAGAACAAAACCAAAAGCTAAGACCAGTTTCACCTACATCTGTGATACTGCTATGACTAGCCATAGCCAACACACGCTGAGCACTTGCTTTACATAGACTCTCCTGGACTCCTCAATTAACTGAAAGAACGTTTATAAGAGTAAAGATACTGTATAATCACCAAAGTTCAACATGTCAAGTGAAAATGGGAAAATAAGACTGGAGGAAGATGTTATCAAGGGTGGTTGTCTGCGTGTGATGATTTCATAGGGATTTTTTTTTTCCTCCCTTCTACTTTCCTTTTTGTTTTTGTTTCTGTTTTTTTTTTTTTTTTTTTTTTTTTAAATAATAAGATGGGGTTTCACCATGATGGATGGCCAGGCTTGTCTTGAATTCCTGTCCTCAAGTGATCTACCCACCTTAGCCTCCGAAAGTGCTAGGATTACAGGCGTGAGCCACCATGCCCACCTCTACTTTCCTTTTTTAAAGAGTTTTGTAGTGGATTTTTACTACTTAAATAATGAAGAAAAAAATAAAAATTATTTAAAACATTTCTAATGACATTAACGCTTCCCTTCATGTTACAGGTAGCAATGTGCACTCGGCATGTTTGGTGCCTCAGGAGTCTCCAGTTGCACACTGGAGCCCTGGAGAGTTCCCGGCGTCACGCCGCAGAAGGTAACCAGACAATTTTGGTGCTCTCAAAGATAAACTTTCAATAAGGGTTTATCAGTGAGCCTAAAACATAGAAAAAGATCATAAAAATTTAATCATAAGCAACTTGAGAGTCAAAATGAAGTCACTAATGTTAAAAAAAAAAAGGAAAAAGAAAAAAAAACAACTTGCCAGGCACAGTGGCTCATGCCTGTAATGCCAGCACCTTGGGAGCCCAAAGCGGGTGGATCACAAGATCAGGAGTTCGAGACTAGCCTGGCCAACATGGTGAAACCCCGTTTCTACTAAAAATCCAAAAAAAATTAGCCAGGTGTGGTGGCAGGCGCCTGTAATCCCACTATTCAGGAGGCTGAGGCAAGGAGAATCGCTTGAACCCGCGAGGCGGAGGTTGCAGTAAGCCAAGACTGTGCCACTGCACTGCAGCCTGGGAGACAGGAGAAGAAGACTACGTCTCAAAAAAAGAAAAAAGAAGCAAAACACACACACACACAAATAACCTTGACAGAGCCAGCGAAAGCCGCAAAGGGAGGGTTCTCACGCTTGAATGCCTGGTAACAAAACTATCACAGAGGACTCTAATAACCACACCCTTGCACAAAGGCCATCACAGCCTTACACGAAAAACACTTGTGCAAGGATCTACCCAGGAACTCCCCATCCAACCTCACACTGGTGTCACCTTCCTTGTTGATCTTTTTTGCCAGAAATAAGTATTTCAAAGGAGTTATGTAATCTTCTTTACTTTTCAATTTAAAAACCGTAGTCTTCGTTTACCACCCTGAATATGCACATAGCTTGCTATGCCATGTGCATTTTCACTGCAACACTCTATGTGCAAATAAATATCTTTTAGAGAGCCTCTCTGTGCTTATTATTGAGGTTGGTACCCTCTACACATAAACCTTCTTTCCTTCACACAAGGAGCTGGGAAATGATTAAGATGAGTAATTCACCACTGAAAAATGTCATCAAAGAAGAAAAGAGTCATCTTGAGCAAAGGGCAGTGGGAAACACTCCTACAATGAAGGCGTGTCCAGGGCCTGTACTCAGGGATGACACAAGCTTTTGGTTTCATCTCAAGTACGTGTCTCCTCCCCTCTCCACAAACCTCTGGGGACAAGCACAGAGCTCGAATCATTTCCAGAAGTTCTCTGAGTGTTGCTGAGACTGAGCTGAGCAGTACCTGCACAGTGTGCAGCTGTAACTAAGCACACGCCTTGGAATCCTTGCAAATTTCTGTTTCTGCTCTCCCTGAGCCCTTGTTACAGAAACAACTCGAAACAGGTATTAACCCTCCTTACCGATAGAAGTTTATAGTTACAAAGTCTCTTGCTCCAAAAAGAGGTAGATCTTTGCAACTCGTGTTTCAAATAATTTCAGTATCATTTTCTAAACAAAGATTCCATGCTAGGACCAGATAGCTTGGAGGGTCTTTTCCAAAAGATTAACTGATGACACTCTCCCCCCAAATAAATCTTGGTGGAGCAGAGTTCCTGCCTCCGTGCCCTGTCCCTCTTCCTCCCCAGTGGACTCCCAACTCCCTGAAATGGCCCGTGCATACTCGGGCCCCAGTCCTGCCCTCCATCCTCAGTGGCTTTGGAGTGTGAGTGTGAAACTGGTGACAGAACACGCAACCCAGACCAGTTCCCACTCCTGGGGAACGGGCAAGCTTACCTGGGCCATCTGGGTGGCAGTGTTTCCCTTTGCCCCCAGGAGAACCATGGCCAGGGCAGAGGAGATGCTCATGGGGGAACAGAACACATTGCCTGAAGGGTTATCTTCACATAGTAGCTTTAACAGGCTTATGGCAAAGGTGCCACTTGCATTAGAAAAAGTTTCCATGATGCAGGGCCTGGAAACCAAGAATAAAGAGAAATGCGGTTTCGACATTCCCTAAATGTTACTGACCTACTTACTACGCGGCGATTTTGGAATCATACCTTTTGTTTTCATCTCAAAGTTCATATTTTAAGTTGGAGAAAAATCTATTTTCTGCTAGTCTCTGACCAAAAACTAAGTGCAAATATTAAGGTAATTAGCTAAGAGTGGTGATGGCAGCAGCGCAAACCACCCACAGCAACAGAACTGGCTCGCCTGCAGAGCACGTGCTCTCTCTCTCTCTCTCTCTCTCTCTCTCTCTCTCTCTCACACACACACACACACACACACACACACAGCTGGGAGCAGTGAACTCCAATTCTTTCCATAAGGACCAGATCGTCCTCCCTGGCCCTATCTGAGGAGGACAATAGGGCCAGGGAGGAGGAAAACGCGTTCTTATTCTTGCAGGCACTTACAGAGTCCTTGTGAGATTTTCAACTAGGCACCAGCCCCTGGCCTCCCTGTCATTTAGTTGATACACAACAGACACTGACATGCTGAATCTGATCCAGAGACAGACAGCTGTGAGGCAAGGAGTTCTTGTCCATGGAGTGTCCACGGAGGCAAGTGAGTGGGTCCTGGACGGCTGGGGTGGAGCCAGTCTGCTCACAGCCAGCCAGACTGGCCCAGGCCCACTCTGACATCCCAGGAATGCATTCAGGGCTCCTGCCCAGTCACTAGCCTCTGGACATCATGTGACCGTTTAACACTGAAAGTGAGACTTAGAGAATTGTGTGTTGCTTTTGCTTCCTTTCATTTTCTTTTTAATGTTCTTGCTAACTCAGAAACATCCATGTGGGAGCTTTCCTCATTACTCCCAGCAAAAGCCAGGAGGGTCGATTGTGAAACCAGTGAGAACCAGGAGGTGGTGGTGCCTGTGAAGCCAGGGGAGGCAAAGTGTGAATGTGGGTGGGTGGGTCTCCTGGCCACAGATCTGAAACCAAAGGAAAGCCCACCCCCAGGCTGCAGTTCCCAATGCCCTTGGAAATGAGCCTCACCCATCCAGCTGAGGCTGGGAGACCTCCCTGACTCCTTCCCCTCTCTCCCTCCTCCCCCACCCTCATCCCCAAGTCCTGTGCTCCTCACCCACATTTCTCTCCACTTCAGATCCTGTGCCTGGCCTAGTGACCAGGCCCCCTCCCTGACCCTCTGGTCTTTCCAGAGCTGCTCCCCACTGTCCGGACACCTCACCTGTGCTTCCCAAAACGCCAGCCAGACCACTGGAGAGCCTTGGATAATGAACACAACCTGCTGCCGGCAGCCACCCTCAGCCACAGCCACACAGCATCCTGAGAGGAAAGCGGTGTCTCCATCCTCTCGTCCTTCCTCCTAAATCTCCCGGGGCCTTAGGGTCTGCTCAAAGGCGCCTTGTTGAAATGGTTTCTTCTCCACCTGCCCCTCCCCAGATCCAGCCTCACTCAGGTCACAGCCTCCACCTTTGGCCATCCTGAACCTCTCCCAAAGTCACCTCTTGGCAAACACTGTTGGTCCCCCTTAAGGAGGTGCCATGACAATCACGGATTAATTCCACTCACCCTCAAACATCTGGGCCCCCCCGCCCGAGGCTCTGATTCCCATCCTACAGAAGGCTCTCTTGACTCCGCTGGCGCGGACCTCCCCAGCACCACCCTTTCTCCCAAAAGTGATTCCTCATCTACCTGCTGGCGGTCTCCACAGACCTGCAGGCAAAGGGCTGTGCCTGGCTCTCCGGATTCTTGTGTGTGTTTTTTGATTTTTGTTTTGTTTTGAGACGAGGTCTTGCTCTGTCTCCCAGCCTGGAGTGCAGTGGCCGCAATCTCAGCTCACTGCAACCTCCGCCTCCCGAGTTCGAGCTATTCTCCTTCCTCAGCCTGTAGCTTACATTATTACAGGAGTGCGCCACCACGCCCGGCTAATTTTTTTATTTTTAGTAGAGACCGAGTTTCACCACATTTGTCAGGCTGGTCCCGAACTCCTGACATCACAGGATCACACTGCCTTGGCCTCCCAAAGTGCTAGGATTACAGGCGTGAGCCACCGCGCCCGGCCGAGACTGGTAACTTTAAAGGACAGAGAAGCAGCAGGACAGGCGTCATCCTGCGGATCCCAGAGCAGAAAAGAGCAGTGAGAAAACAGGGCTGTCAGGTGGGGAGGAGGCTGCAGGGAAGGCGGCGTCCGCGCTGGCTGGGGAGCGCCGAGGCAGAGACCGGCTGCGAGCTGCAAGGGACCCGCAGAGACCGTTGCTGTCTCCCCAGAGACCGCTCCGCCTCCCCGGGGCTCTTGGCTGAGAGACCGCTTCTGTCCTCAGGTCCCATCTCGGGGTGGCAGCCAGGGGACCTGAAGCTCGCCACTCCCGTCCCCCACCCGGGCCCTGCGCGGGGACGCCCTCACCTGCCACCTCGTCCAGCGCTGCGCCCTCTCCGTGCCGGGCTCCGAGCCTGGTCGCCGATTCCCAAGGCGCAGGACCAGGCCCTGCTGCTGAGCTCAGAGGGTCCCCATTCACTCCCAGCCTCAGCCTGCACCGCCTTTTATTACCACATGTCGGGCGCCTCCCACACTTGCTGCTTGACTGGGGCTCCGCCTGCCGGGACCAGCAGGGCCGCAGGGCTTGGTGGCCGAGAGCAGGGCTAGGGGCCAGGGCCGGCCAGGTTCGCTCTGTCCGCCCCGCCCAGGGCGATGTCCGCGCAGGACCGCCCCCACCCTCTTCCCCCCGCCTGAGGCCAGCCAGGTGACCAAGGCGCTCTCCTGGCCTGACCCACCCCAGCGCCACAACCGCTTCAAAACCCGGTTCTGAAACTGACAGCCCACAGAAGTAGGCTGGTAGTCTGCGGTGCCCAGAGCCTCCGCGCCAAGAAACAAGGGGTCTGCGGGAAGGAGACAGAGCCTGAAACCCTGAACTTTTCTACTTCCAGAAAGCGAAAGTCGGGTGACAGCCAAGCTGGATGTTCCAGTTGGAAGGCCCCATGGGTCTGTGTTCCACGCCTCTTGTCTTAGAAATATGAGGGATTCAGTTAACCAAAGCATTTGTTCCAGATTCTGCCACTAACTAGTAGTACTCTTGGGTACTAGTACTAACTGGTACTAGTCCAGATAGAGAAGCAGGCGTCCTCACTGCTAGTACCGGAACCCTTCTCCAGCCACAGCTGCTTGGACTGCCGTTGGTTTAAGCAGCCCCACCATTCCGGCAAAGTGATGGGAAGAGACACTGAGTGAGAAGGGCTCAGGACACTCCTGTATCCTCTATCAGGGGTCCAGAGGCAGAGACTTGGAGGAGTTGAGGCAGCAGTTTGTGATGTCATCAGATATCCCCCCCACCGCCTCCATCCTAGGCTGGACGCAATTTGAAGCATTTTGTGTTGACACGGTGACAATCAGAGGAAGAGAACAGACCAAATGGCTCCCAGGGAGAGGCTCCCAGAAGCCGTGCCCTCCCATTTCAAATTGACCAGAAGTAGAGCTTTCTCCTGAGGGCCTGAATTAGGGAGAGGCAAGCCAGGTGCCTAAGGCACAAAATTTCGGGAAGGCAGCACTCGTGGGGGCCAACCCTGCATTTTCTCGCCCGGAGAATCAGAACCTCCTCCAATTTTACACTATAGGTGCCTAGTTTGCTTTTTTTTATGTTTTTTGTTTGTTTGTTTGTTTGAGGAAGTCTTGCTTTGTCAACCAGGCTGAAGTGCAGGGGCATGATCTTGGCTCACTGCAACCTCCTCTCCCTGGTTCAACCGATTCTTCTGCCTCAGCCTCCCAAGTAGCTGGGACTGCAGGCGTGGTCCACCATGACTGGCTAATTTTTGTATTTTTAGTAGAGACGTGGTTGGTGTTTCACCATGTTGGCCAGGGTGGTCTTGAACTCCAGACCTCATGATCCGTCCGCCTTGGCCTCCCAAAGTGCTGGGATTACAGGCATGAGCCACCACACCGAAAGCACCTTTACTAAAAGACAATTGACTACCATAATATTCATCCTTTAAAGCATGCAATTCAGTAGCTCTGTTTTGTTGTTTTTGGTGGAGTCTCGCTTGACTAGGCGCCCGGCTGGAGTACAGTGGCACGATCTCAGCTCACTGCAACCTCCACCTCCTGGTTCCAGCCATACTCCTGCCTAGGACTCTGGAGTAGCTGAAACTACAAGGATGCACCACCATGCCCGGCTAATTTTCATATTTTTAGTAGATGGAATTTCACCCCGTTGACCAGGCTGGTCTCCAACTCCAGACAACGGGTGACTCACTCAAACTGCTGGGATTACAGCCTGAGCCACCACGCCTGACCAAAAATCTATTTAAAAAAAAAAAATCAATAAAAAAATTCTAGCTAGACTGATCAGGCAGGACAAAAAAAGAGAAAGAGAGTGAGAGAGAGAAAGGGAGAGAGAGAAGACACAAATGATCAGTATCAGGAATAAAAGAGATGGTGTCACTGCAGATTTTATATATATTAGAAAGAAAGATATGGCTATAATGAACAACCTCATGCCAATAAATTTGACAAATTAGATAAAGTGGACAAATATCTTGAAAGACAAAACCTACCAAAACTCACTCAAGAAGAAATAGGTATCTTAAACAGTCTTGTCTTCTTATTAAGTTACAGTAATCAGAACGGTGTGGTACTGGGATTTTAATAGACAAATACATCAATGGAATTATCTAGAGTTCAGAAATAGGCCCATACACCTATGATCAATTGATTTTCTGCAATGCTGCCAATGTAATTCAGTGGAGAAATGATGGTCTTTTTGTCAGGCCTCCATGTGCAAGTCTGGACCCAGGAAGTCTAAAGTCCTGACTGCCTCGGCTGATCACTCCCCATCCCCGACCCTGTCTGAGGTCACCATTATTCTTGATCGCCTAGTGGAGCGTCCCTCGTACATAAGCTTCCCCTCACCTCACCCTACCATCTTAACTGTTATTAAGATAATGTGAATACTCCTCACCCCACCCTACCATCTTAACTACTCTTATCCCTCCCACCATTTTAACTGAACTTATGGTAATGTGTACTCCTCGCCTCTACCCCCACTACTGTAACTGATCTTACTCTGTAACTTTCCACTGCCCACCCCAAACCTATAAAACCAACCCCTATCCCACTGCCCTTTGCTAATGCCCTTTTTGGCCTTAGCCCACTTCCCCCCCACCCCCAGGTGAATAAAGAGCCACATTGCTCACACAAACCTGTTTGGGGGTGATCTCTTCATTCAAGAAATGTGTTTTTAACACTTTTCAACATATGCAAAAACATGAACTTAAAATGGATCCTAGGCATAGATGTAAATTCTAATGCTATAACATTTCTAGAAGAAACATTGGAGACAATTGTTGTGACCTTGGGTTAGGCAAAAAGTTGTTATATTTGACAACAAATGCATGATGTATAAACAAAAAGATCTGATAACTTGAACTTCACGAAAATTAAGAATTCCTGCTCTTTGAAAAGCACTGTTATCAAAATGAAAATTCAAGTTGCAAACTGGGCAAAAATATTTACAAAAAGGATATCTGATAAAGGACTTAGTATTTATGAGAACTCTCAAATGCAATAATCAAACAAAACCAAAATAAAATAAAATGTGAGTGAGAAATTTAAAAAGACATTTCATCAGAAACATACATAGATGGCAAATGAACACATTTTAAAATGCGGAACGTCACTAATCACGGAAATGGAAACTAAAACCTCCATGAGAAACCACTACACATTGATTATCATTAGTAAAAATGACAACAACACTGATAAAAATGACAAAATCTGTCAAGTTTTGGTGACTAGAACATTCTTATGCTCCTGAGAATGTTCAGTGTACAATCATTTTGAAAGACAATTTGGCAGTTTCTTAAACTGACACAAGAACAGAAAATCAAACACCACATGTTCTCACTCATAGGCCGATGTTGAACAATGAGAACACATGGACACAGGGAGGGGAGCATCACACACAGCAGGAGGGGTCTGTTGGTGGGGGTGAGCATGATCTAACAGAGAACCCAGTCTAGCGAGGTATATTTTATAAAAGAGCCGTGTTACAAATGGCTCATGTAACAGGGGATGAACTGTGACTCCAAAACAGAGCCAGGAGCAGCTGCTGCTCAGTCTGAGTCAAAAAGGCAAGTCTAAGGCTCATTTCTCACCTCAACTCCAGACTCCTGCTACCCAAAGTACGGTCCATGGACTGGCAGCACCTGAATTATGCAGAATCTTGTTAGCAATCAGAAATCTGAGGGCACACCCCAGACCCACAGAATCAGAATCTGCATTTTAACAATATCCCAGGAGATTTGTGTATTAGTTTTCTGGGGTTGCAAGATCAAAGTGGCCACAAGCTGTGTGGCTCAAACAACAGTAATTTACCTTCTCACAGTTCCAGAGTCTGGATGTCCAAGTTGGAGGTGTCAGCAGGGTTGATTTCTTCGGAGGGCTGTGTGGAAGAATCTGTGTCAGGCCTCCCTCTCTGGCTTGTGGATGGCCACCTTCTTGCTGTGTCTTTGCATGGCTTTCCCTCTGTATCTGTCTGTGTCCAGATTCCCTCTTCTTATAAAGACACCAGTCATACTGACTGGAAATACCCTATCTCCAACCACAGTCACATTCTCACATGGGACTTAGGACTTCAACATAGAAATTTGGGGGGAACACAGTTCAGCCCATAGCAATTCATATGCACATTGTTTAGAAATATTGACTTGATCAACCTTCTCATCCAAGAATCATAACCAGTAATTATTGGGCCTTTACTTAACCCTTCCTTCAGAATGCAGAATTATGTTCTTATATTTTTAGTACTCTCTCTTGTTAGTCTCCTTAAAATTTGTCCTCACCAGCAATTCCCTTCCTCCTTAACAGAAATGCATACACACGCTCACCAAAGACTCACAGTGGTGTTCATTCAGCCCTAGTTTTAATAATTCTAAACTGGAAATTCCTCAGATGTTGGCTGGCAGGTGAACTTAGAGAAATGAGCTCAAGCTGGAATCCACACTCAGACTCTCTGCCCAGGGCTCAGCAGGTGAGACGGGTGTTGTCATGGAGACATAGAATGACTATGCTCAGCCTCTCCCGGGCACAGGGCAGCCCCAGCACCTGGCTGTGCATCTGTCTCCATTCCCTAATTGAAATGTCGCTTGCTTAAACATCATCTGAACTGTCTTTTGCTCCAAATGAAAACATAAAAGTAACACCAGATTATTGAAAAATGGTACCGTTTACTTAAAAAAAGAAGATATCTTTAACTCCAAGAAACTCCAACATACAGATAGTAAAGTTTGTATTTCTGTCTCTTTATGCTGATACATGTAAAATCTTCATTAGTGCATTTAGTATTGAGTGCAAAGTACTATTGTTCCAGTAGATTAAACATTACCAGTAAGAGGTAATGGGCTAGCAAATATTTCTATATTGATTATATATTAACTTCTATATTAGTTTTGTAAGAAATTCTGTTTTTTTTTTTCTCTTTTGAGAAGCTGCTTAGAGAAGCACTCCTAGGGACCTTATAATTAAAAAATTATTTATCTAGGTTAAGAGGAGCAGCATCAACTAATCTTGAGGTCTTTATATATATATATTTTTTTTTTAATTGTGTTTTAGGTTTTGGGGTACATGTGAAGAACATGCAAGATTGTTGCATAGATACACACATGGCAATGTGGTTTGCTACCTTCCTCCCCATCACCTATATCTAGAATTTCTCCCTG